TGGATAGTTTGGAAAAATCGGTACCGAACTATTTGAAGGAATTCGAAACCATGGATAGTTTGGGGAAAATGCTACGGAACCATGTGTGACAGAGCCAAACCATGGATAGTTTGGGAAAGCCGGTACCGAACTATTTGAAGGAATTCGAAACCATGGACAGTTCAGGAGGAGTTTCACGAAACCATATGAATGATTACGAAGCCATTGATAGTTTGCGAGAATCTGTTCTGAACCATTTGCTGGAATGCAGAACCAACGATGGTTTAAGAAAATTAGCACTAAACCATACGACGAAATACTGAACCATGTATAGTTTAGGAAAGTTCCTGCGAACCCTGACAGAGCAATACCAAGCCACGGATAGTTTCGTAACAGATGCGCGGAACCTCTCATTAGTTCGTGAAACTGTTTATGGTTTATTAAAAGCTGCGCGGAACCATTTGGTATAATTACGGAACTAAATATGGTGCTGTATAATGGAAACGAAACTTTTTTTTGAAAAGTATGATATTAGAAAGTTTCGTATGAAATGTACTGAACCTTTACAAGGATAAGTAAGCTGTCGTTGGTTCAGCAGAGAGTATGCGGAACCACTAACAGTTTCGTGATATATCTGCTAAACTTGTTAGGAATTTTTATAACTTTAAAAGATTCGTAGAAGTCATACGAAACTAAATAGGGATCAGTGCAGAATTTACTGAACCAACAGAGGTTTCGGAGAAATTTGACCGAACTTCTAAGGTTTAGCTAACATAAAATTGGTTTCGACCGAGTGGTACTGAGCCTTTCGTGTTAATACGAAGCCATGCTTAGTTCAGTTAGAAATACTCTGAACTTTCTGAGAACTGAGGAACCTTTGATGGTTTCGTGAGAGAAGATCTGAACCATCTGATGGCGTGCGAAACCAGAGATGGTTTGGTAGAAAATACAGGAAACCTCCCTTCAGACTGCAGAACCATTGATGGATCTGTAGACACGTTACGGAACCATCAATGGTTTTCTGTACCGTATAAAAAACCTTTGTGTGGTTTTGTTTGTAAGCTGCCGAACCTTTTCAATCTTACCGAACTTTTCTAAGTTGAGTAGATGAAACACGAAACCTTTCCAACTTTTCTGAACTTAAAATCGATCGGTAGAAGAATGAAAAACCATTTTGGTTCGGTAAAACACCTATTTTTTTTAGAGTGCGATGTGGTAGGATAATAAATGCAAATCGCTGAAACGTACAATGACCTACCGTAGTCTGTAAATTAAACAATCCTTTTGTAGAACAAACGTGTGTCAATAAACTATTCAACTGTCTCTTCTTCCCTTTTGTTTTCCTAAAACCCATTTCGTCATGTACCTTTTGGGTAAAAAACCTTCCAAAAGTTTATTCTGATAGGATAAATCCTTAAAAGATTGATAATAAAAATTTTAAAGTCCAAGAGTTCATGAACAGACGCTTTTTTTTACAGTGTACGCGAAGCACGATCGATAACTACCGACACCGGACGGGTCTGAAGCCTTTTCATGTTATTCGGAAACCATTGAAATGAGAAACTCATATTTCCGATCGTCTGTGGCT